GAGACACTCTTTATCGGAATAGTATGTGTAATGACTCCGGCTAGTCATGATAGGGTCCTTGGTTCAAGATTCGTTCACCATAGCACCTTGACGAAACTTTGAGTTGTTTGCACTAAGTGAAAGTTCAAAGTCAAAAGCTACTTTCATTTATGTACAATTTCCTACGATGATGCTTTGTGTGTGTGTTTGCATGAATTACGGTGGTTTGATCCCGTTAAGGGTACGTAGGCAATCAATTTTTTGTGATGCAGCCGTTTCATTTTCTCTAAATCAAAATTTTGAAAAATAGGGGGGATGTGTTAGATATTTTTCATCATTTTGCATGTGTTATCTTTTATTTTGCGAATATTTTGCCGCCCCAACTTTCATAAGACTTTGAATAGGTATGTTTCTTCAAACAAATGCGTCCATTCATTTCAAGGGACACACCTATTCAAAAAGTTGCCTCCAACAAATGCGTCCATTCATTTCAAGGGACACACCTATTCAAAAGGTTGCCTCTATTTCTATATATTTTGGGCGAATTCTCATTTGCAAGACACATTAAAAAATTCGTTATTTTTTCTATTCTTCTCTCTTTTCTCTTAGCATCATCAGTTTCATTATAAAGTGTTTTCTTGGTTTGATCAAATAGTCACAATTTGAATCAAACGTCTCCATTGTATCCTGAGAGAGATTTTCTATCATATCCCGGTAGTGATTTTGTTGGAAAGGGGAGAAACATCTCTTAAAAGATAACGTTTTTCGTGCTTTGGAGTTCATTAGTTTTTTCCAGATTTTATTATATATTTCCAACACACTCATATTTCGACTCGAGTGATGGGAACTTATGGATACTGTGCCCCTGAATATGCCATGAGCGGTAAACTGACTCTGAAATCAGACATCTATAGCTTTGGCGTGGTTCTGTTGGAACTGATTACTGGATGCAAGGTTATTGACTGCACCAAAAAGCCAGGAGAGCAGAATCTGATTGTGTGGGTGAGTTTATATTCTTTAACATATAAACTCCATATGAAATTGAACTTACAAGAACTTCTTCAGTTTTTGATTCTATGGCCATAGTTTAAGCAGGATACCCTGCATCCTGTGTTATTTTATCTCTATGATGCATGGCCTAGTACAGATTGTGTCCGAAACTTGTTATGTTTTGTCGTGTTGGATACAAATACTCTTTGGACATGCCCTTGTCCCCTTTTTTTTGCATATTTTTAAAATTACCTTTTATAACGTATGAATTTAAAATTTAAAAAAATTCAAATTAACATGACCCTGATGTGTCCGTAACCTTTTCCAAAAATCACGTGTCAGTATGTCCATGTCTTGCAACTTAGTTTTATCTTTGAACTCCATATGAGATATTGGTTTGGAGGACTTACAAGAACTTTTTCAATTCTTGGTTCTAATAGCCATAATTTATGCAGGATATTCTGCAACCTTCTTGTTTAATCTTTAATCTATGGTACACTTCCTTATCCAACTTCAAGGGTTCTGGTATCACAAAATTGAAATGTCTTCTGCTTGGAGCCTTTCCATTTGTGGATAGAAGTCCCGCTGGTTTGAGAGTGATGCATTAGCTAATTTAAGTGTCTATGCTTCTGAGAGTGTTCGCAGGGAAGTGTAGCGAATAGTAATGCAGTTAATTCCCACTGGTTTGGATAACTAAGGAAATGATTTTACGTACTTTTTTCTCTCAAAGTAATTGTAATCCAGGATTACTATATTATATTTTTGTTTTTCAATTTCAAAGCTATTTCTACTTTCAACTAAAGATTTAAGTGCCCCATTCATCATCCAGATTCAATGTACATCATATGGGACAACCCATTCGTCGCAAGCTATCTGGTTTCTCATGGTCATTTCACACCGCCTCAATAAAGGATAATGCATTGTCCTTCTTATTCTCAAACCATTTTGATTATCTTCTTCCATGCACAGCAGTGCACTATGTGTGACTGACTTGCTAGCTTCTGCAAAATTCTTGTTCAAACAATTCACAGTAGCATCATCAAATGCATGGAGTACAAAACTATGACTCTTCTGATCCGTCTTCGCACAATTGTATTGCTCGCTGACATAGATCCTTGTATCGTTGCAGCCTTGATCGCTCCTCTTCTGATGCCTCTCCCGTTGAGTATCAGCTCTCTGCATCTTTTGTCCAAAATATATTGTGATGGAATTCTAGAACTGCCACAGATTTGAAGAACAATAGTAGCATGTCTGCAAAGGTAAACCTTATGATGTACGGCGTGAACATAAATAATAATAAAAAGGTCTTATTCGTAACATACAAACGGGTGTTGCCTGAATTTTCCTCGAACATATGTGATAAATATTGGAATCTACTAGATAATGGAAAACTGAATTATTATTAATCAAAAAGGGTCGTAGGGTTTTCAAATCCTTTAACAAATATTTAAAGAGCCAAAAACAAATCTTAATCGAAGTGTAACCCTAATTCGACAAATCAAAATAAAACTCAAAAATATCAAAATGATGAAAATATCCTTAAACTGACTCAAAACAGGAAAACGTTAACACGGACCTTTAAACGAAGGAATTTGACCTTGAAAGTTTGACGATGTTTGCCAAAGGCCAATTGTCACTCCGAAAAAACTATAGAGAATTGAAAAACGCTTCCGAATTGTACACGCTCGCGTAAATCTAACACCTGAGCTGAAAGTTATGTGCGTTTTTATAGATTCTTCATATTTCCCCTCTTTTAAAACTAATTTATGATTTTCTCTTCTAAATGTTCCTCATCACTTTAGATTCAAATAAATGGTATATGACACTTCTATTTAGGTTCATTCACCACAACACTAAATTCTTTATTTCTTTCAAAATCTTGAACTTTAAAGGTAATGGTTGCACCATCTCGTCCTTCTCTGTTTGGAATATTAACAACTGAGCATAAGACCTCAACTTGAAATTCCTGAAATACAGCATATGTATACATCTAGAGGTGGCAATCGAATCGAGCGGCTCGTCAAAAACGAGCCCGAGCACGAGCCGAGTAGGTCGGCTCGCTAGCTCAACTCGTCATTTAGACGAGCTGCTCAAAGAGCCCACGAGCCTGGACTCGTCGTTTATACGAGCCACGAGCTAAATTTTTTTTTTAAAAAAAGTCAATATGTGACCGGAACGGTCACTGAATTTTCAGTGACCGTTTGGTCAATTTTAATTTTCTTCATTTCTCTAATTTTCTTCCCCTATAAATACCCATCAATTATAATATTTTTTCCCACCAAACTTACTATCAATATCAATCACTCATTCTCTATTCTACTAGCTACAATTTACAAATCAATATCATCAATATCATTCATTCATGCTATAATCATCTTCTACATTTTTTTACATTATTATCTTAATTTTAAAATTCAATTTCTATTATAACAAATGGATCAACGAATCTTGATTTTACAATTCATTTTATAAACTACTATATAATTTTCATTCACTGCTTAATTCTACATTTCTACTTCAAGTCTTCAACATTCAATTTCTATTATTTACAAATGGATCCACGATTGTTTGTTAAAAACTTGTTTGGTATGAAAAGCGAAACACCTGCCCAAAGTCAATTTAGGAATGAATTCGCGGGTCTAAATGAATTACCCATTTATGAAAATATTCAAGATTTTGACGTTCATGAAGGTAACCATCCAATTGACTTGGATGACGTTGATGTCGATCATAGTATTTCAATTGATTTGGAACAAGAAGAAGAACTTACATTAAATATTCTCGATGTAAGATGGAAGAGAAAGTGGAAGAAGTAGGCAAAATGTTGGGACCATTTTAAATTGGTTCAAACTGGTCGTATGGTCGATGGACTTCCACAAACCAAAACAGTATGTAAATACTGCCAATAATGATTGGTATGACAAAAAGGTATTGGAACTACCCACCTCAACTGTCACTACGAAAACTGTGCGGCCAAATATGGGCTTCTTCTAGTTGGTCAAACACAACTACAGTTTAGTACTCCAGGCGCCGGTGCTACTACTATGCCACTTTCTACGTGGATATATTAGAGGAGGAAGCTCAAACGGGAATGGTGAAGTTCCTTGCCGCGGCGGAGTTGCCACTATTAATAGTGGACAACCAACATTTCGTAAACTACGTCAAATAATATCTTCAACCGAGGTACGTTGTGGTAAGTCGAAATACTCTTTGTTCTGATACAATTGAATATTTTCTTAAATCAAAGAAACTATTGATTGCGGATTTAGAAAAATATGGAGGTGTGATATCTGTAACTTTAGATATGTGAGAAAGGATTAATAAGAGATGTTATATATCTGCAACTGCACATTATATAGACCAACTTTAGGTCATGCATAAAAAAATTATTGCTTTTAAAGTTATTGAGTACTCGCACAACGCTCAAACTATATTTAATGCTATTATGAACATTATTAGAGAGTATAAATGCGAGAGTAAAATTCGTTCTATTACGTTCGACGACGCTAGTGTAAATAAGGTTGTTATCGATAAAAGTTGTTTATTGATCTCTCCATATACTTCATTTAGTTGGTAGTATGTTGCATGCGGTTGCGTAGTGGTCGTCTTATTATATCTAGTTCCAATAACCTGACCATGGACTCATCCCAATTTAATGCTCTCACCAGGCAATTAGCACAACTTGCCACTAACCCCAACAACAGTTCCAAACTCAATTAGCGGCTGTCCAAACTAAGATGACTGATAATCTTGAAGAGAATAGGAGCCTAGCTGCTAGTCTGAACAATTTTAAACAAATCCCTCATTCGACTGATGATGATAATTCACTTCACAGGATATTAAGACAAAATCATTGTCGACAAGGTGATCAAAAATATTTTCGACACGATCGTAGGGATAGAGGTCAGGTTCATGAGCGAAAACGAGGTTATGATCGTCACAATACTCATTCTCTTCCATGTCATAAGGAGTGTTCCTTTAGAGACATTAAAGTAGGAGTTTTTACTTTTGATGGTTGCTTAGATTTTGAAATTTTTACTCAATGGACTGCCCTTAATGCACATGTCATTGATCTTTTATCACATTTTGGCTACCACTCTATTTTAAATATTGAGGACTTCATTACTTACAAACACAGTTTCAATTCCCTTGATGATCTTTTCTATTTAACTCTGTGGACTCCCAACCTGTCTATGTTGATATTTCTACTTCCATACCATCTGTCACAGCACACAAAGATACAATTGATGTTATTTTAGGTGAACAGATTGTGTTGACCCATGATGGAGAGATTCAGTGCTTCCTTGCTCGTTGGGTAGTTTCACCTGATGCAGACCGTACATGGAGTCCTATAGAGAAGCTCCAACAAATCTGGATTACACTACTGAAGTTTCGATATTTGGTTCTTACGAAAGATCGTCCCCTGTGGTAGAAGTTTATCCACTCGACAGGGTCGAGTTTTTCTCCTAACCCGAGAGAGTTGATGCGGACAGAAATCATCGAGATTTAGTTTTTATTGTTATTGGACCTTATTAGTTATACTTTTATCATTGGGTTTGTAGCTGTGGGTTGACCCAAACCCGTCACTTGGCTAGGTTTTTACTATATAAGGGTTTTTTCATTATAGTTGGATGAAACTATGAATGAATAAAAATGAATTAAGTTTTTGGCTTGCAACCACGTTTCCTCTCTTCCCCTCTTCTCCCCTGATTTCTCCTCCGACTTCCCCCATTCTCTTCGGTTTCTCCCCTTTTCTTGCTGCCTTCTATTCTATCATGCATCACATTTTACAATAAAATAATATTATACACAATCCAAAAGCTTTTCATTTATTTTTGACCACACATTCTCCATCAATCTACTATTCCAAAATACATTACACACTAAAAATGGGGGTCAAACAGGAAGTTAATATTGAATGATTGCGATCGTTTGAATAATTTGAAAGATTGCTATTGTTGAAGTATACAATCCAATGGCTCACGATCCCTGTTAGAACCTATAAATACATTTCTTCCTATTTTTGGGGTCCTTTCTTTTTCCTCATTACCTTTCACTTAGGCTATATTTGATAGCCCATTTTTTCCATGGAAAATGGAAATTGTTGTCCATTTTCCATGGAAATGGTTGTTTGATAGATTTTATTTGCCATGGAAAATTAATTCCACACCCCCCCCCCAAACACACATGCACCAATTGCCCAAAATGAAGGAAATCGATGGGAAAATGGTTTCCAGGTTAAATTTTTTTTTTTTTTTGGGCAATGGACACAAATTTTATGACCAATTGTTACGTCCGGGACAATTTCAAACTGCGGATTACCTTCCTCATGATTGCATAGTTATACATAAGCATTCGATGAGTATGGGGCTTAGAGTCCTTTTCCATCATTTTTTCCTGATATTCTTTCTTCCTTCAAGATCGCTCCTACTCGGCTTACACTAAATGGATGAGCCTATATAGTTGGGTCATTTTTTGTTATGAAATACCACGGGTTTGGAGGGAGAGCTTTCACTGGATGTATTTAATCCGTTTACCATCATGTGAAGGCGGGAAATAAAGCGAACCCTCAAAAATGGTACTATTATCTATCCACTCGCTCTCTTAA